CCCCAAAACCCCAAAACCCCAAAACCCCAAAACCCCAAAACCCCAAAACCCCAAAACCCCAAGCCAAGATCTTAGAATTGAAAATTATATGGAAACATTAACTTCACCATCCCTTCTTCCATTTCGAAACAACAAAATGGACATTTCAGAGCCCATTTTCATCAAGAAAAGTTCTGGTTTTAGATTTCCCAATCCTGAAATATTCAAGAGAAAGGAAATCCAAGCTGCCTCTTAAATCTGTAGATGTGCCCAACCCTCTAATAAAATTGTAAAACTCTTCAGGGTTCTTATTCCAGTTGCATCTATTTGCACTCGCACATTCATCGAGAGATAGACTCTTAAGCTTGGTGTTTTTAAGTGCAAGAGAAAAGTTAGGAATCTTTGGAACTGAAATTTTGCAGTGTATAAGCATGAGATCCTCCAAATGCCTGAATGAAACCATTATCCTCTTCAACTGTTTTTCATTGATAGCAAAATCGCAGAATTTTATCTCTTGCTGAACTTTTGAGCTAAGTTTAAAAATATTCGGAAAAAAAGTTAGGAATTTTGGTGCCTTTACAACTTGAAAATATTTCTGCAACTTTGACATTTTGTGGAAACCATTTTACAAAGATATCAGTAATGTATTTACTCTTTTTATAAGCATCTCGAATTATTATTTTGTTCAAGTTAGGAAGAACCATCGGACTAAATGTATTGATAAATCATTTAGTGTTAGTACAATTCAGATGCAGAAGCGGTCTACCTTCTACATAAACAGTCAACTTCGCTGGTGACTTTATAAACCCATATCCTAAATAATAAATCTTGCTTTCTAATCTCTCCTTTCTCTCATGTATCATCTTCTCAACTATATCAAATTCACTCCAAAAGCACCTTAAAATTTTTAATTCCCTTAAAAAATCTAAAAATTGCTAAAAAATCAAACACTTAAGTTTTACCTTCAATGAAGGAATTCTGAGGATTCTCCATTATTTTATTTTTATTAATTTTGAGAAGTGGGGTTTTGGGGTTTTGGGGTTTTGGGGGTTTGGGG